CCCCGCAGTACCTGGAGACGCTGAGCGCCACGGCCGGAAGCCCGAGGCGCGGCCCCCACAGGCGGCAGGCGGCCGCCGGCAGCATCGCTTCTCGGGCGGGAAGGTCACACGCGGCTCCGCGCGGAGGCGACGCTCTAGCCGCGGGGAAACGAGCCGGGGCCAGCCGCTCTAGCCTAAGGCTGCGGACAGTCGAGTAGCGGAGGGACGCTCTAGCCGCGAGGCCTCCGAGCAGTCAAGTGTGCGAGGGACGCTCTAGCCGCAAGGCCTCCGAGCAGACGAGAGGACGTTGTCGTCAGAAGCCCTCGTATGCCAGCAGGAGAGGGCCGCTCTAGCCTCCCCGCGTCGGCCTCGGTTGTTCTGCACGATTACCCACAAGGCAGAGCGCTGCGCAGGCGCAGTGAGCGTGGGTCGCAGCCCGCCGCGGGTCCCCCGAAGCGCAAGCCCGGCCCCGGGCGCCTCGCCGCGGCTCCTTTTAGGCAGGTTTTGCACGGTTTCAGGCGGCTCACGCCTGTCATCCCAGGAGGCTGAGATCTGAGGATCCGAGCCAGCCGCGAACCTCACCCCAGTGAACCACCAGAAAACCGGAAGTGGCTCCAGTGGCGAGCGCGGCCTTGAGCTGAAGAGCTCAGCGACAGGGCCCGGCCCGGAGTTCAAGTCCCACCCCGAACCCGGAAAAAGAAGCTCAGAACCCCAAGTGCAGCTCAGGTTTCCCTCTTCTGAAGTCGGAAGGCAACTCTGGAGCCCACCCGGAGGGGCCAGTCAAGCCGCCGTCTGGGGCTTGGCCGGTCGGTTCCTCCCCATGGTAGACCCTCACGAGACGGTCAGGCCCATTCGTGGGAAGCCGTTTCCGTGCTGTCTTGTGCACTGCCCCTCCTGCATCGAGTGGGAAGCTGCCAAGATGACCCCAAAGGCCCATCACCCCGAGACAGAACACACTCAGGACGCTTCCCAACGGCTGCAGCAGCAGGGCCGGGACATGGGGGCTCAGCAAGTGCCTACACACCCTGGGTCAAAAGGGGTGGCTGCTCACCACGGCTTTCTTTTCCTTCCTTTCTTGGGCCAGTCCTGCGGCTTGGACTCAGGGCCTGGGCACTGTCCCTGGGCTGTTCAGTTCAAGGCCAGGACTCTTACTACTAGAACCACAGCTCCACTTCTGGTTTTCTGAGTGGATTATTAGATAAGAGTCTCACAGACTTCCCTGCCTGGACTGGCTTTGAACCATGATCCTCAGATCTCAGCCTCCTGAGTAGCTAAGATTACAGGTGTGAGCCACCGGTGCCCAGCTTGTCCCTGAGCTTCTTGTGCTCACTTGAGCTTTTTCTACTTATGTGGTACTGAGGAATGGAACCCGGGACTTCATGCATGCAAGGTGAGCCCTCTACCACTGAGCCACATTCCCAGTCCCACTTACACTTTTTGAAATAATTTTATTATCACTGTTTTCCAATGGAGAGATGACAGCTGAGAAGCAGAGCAGCTGGAGATGCCTGAAGCCTCTACCCTTGCTGTGCAAGAGTCAGGGCAAAGCCCAGACACCACACCAGCTCACTTTGGAGGAAAGTGGGCTGCATGGGCCTGAATGCCCCCACTCCAGCCACCTCTTGCAGATTGCCCCCCCCACACACACCATGGGGCTAGGGGACTGGAATGTCCTTCCCTTCCCCCTTTCCTCCCAGAGGCCAAGCTCTGGGGGAAAGTCAGAGACCAAGTCAGGACCAAAGCAGGGTGGCAGGAGTCAGCAGACGAGGGGTAGAGGGGCAGAGGGCTGGGCAAGGGCCCATGCCCTGCTCTCAGAAAGGACACTAAAGAGCATTGGGGGAAGAGGAAGGTAGAACAGAACATCTAGTTAGACACAAGGGTGGTTTCCAATGAACCATAGTGTTACTCTGGACGGTGAGTTCAGGGCCGCAGCATCAGTCGAAAGAGATGAGCTGGGCTTCACTGCCCTGTGCTGGCGGTCCTTGTGCTGGGGGCTGCTGGGCCACAGCAGGCTGCTGTGGGGGAGGGCCGCCAGAGGGCGCCACCTGCAGAAGAAGAGCAACAGGGTTCGGCATTCCTTTCACCACAGAAGCTTCATTCTACCTAACTCCCAGTTGTCATCACACTGTCAGACTCAGCTTACACAGCCTTTGGCTTAAATGCAGACTTTTCTATCTACAGGTGGGTCTTCAAAAGGTCTTGCAAACCTGTCTCCTGCAAGCTGGTAAGCGGGAAGGTCCCACAGGGATCAGGGACCCACCTGACCACCCCTAGCCCGGGAAGCCCAGCTATCAGTGAGAGGGGGGCGGATGGTAACACCTCACCTGCTGGTACATGGGCTGCTGCCCGGCAACGTAGGGCTGCTGGGGTGGTATAGATGCGTCCTGGCCAGGGAGGGTTGTCATGAGAGTCTGTGGAGAGGAAAACACTGAGAAAGTTACTCCTATACCCAGACAGGAGTCTCCTGACTTGCAAGAGGAGATTCCAGGAGGGGAAGGCCAGGGTGAGCAGCGGGGCGGGCCTCCTCACCTGCATGCTGTATGGCTGGTAGCCCATGGGCACCGGCTGACTCCCCATGTAGCCCATGGTGGTGGGCTGTGGAGGCTGGGAGATGGCGGGGAGGCTCTGCGGGGCCTGGGAGGCCACGTTCTGTGGAGGGGGATGCACAATGTAGTAACAGGGCCGGCTGAGTGCGTGGGGGGCGGGGGGGGAGAGGCTCAGGGCTGCACACATACCTGGTAGCCTGGGGTGGGAGTGGGCTGGTAGGAGGAGTAGGCTGGGCTGGCAGTGGGGCCAGCTTGGGCCTGGGGGGCTGCCTGGGTCCCGGGAGCCCCTGTTGGATACATGTAGGCACTCACCATGCTAGGATCTGTGACAAACAAAAGGCACGTGAGCTAGCTCAATGTACAGGATGGAGGTGGGATAGGAGGGTTTTTCTGAGGTCTTTGACTTTTGAAACCAAGTTCATGTTTCACATTCTCGAAGAAACAGAATAAATACACTAGGTGCTGGTAGCTCATGCCTGTAATAGTAGCTACTCAAGAGACTGAGATGAGATGATCAAAGTTCAAACTCAGCCCAGGCAGGAAAGTCCATGAGAGTCTTCTCTCCAATTAAACACCAAGAAGCCAGAAGTGGAGCTGAGCTCGAGTGGTAGAGTGCAGTAGGCCTTGAGCACAGAAGCTCAGGGACAACACTCAGGCACTGAGTTAAAGCGCTAGGATGGGCACAAAATAAAGCCACAAGGTGGACTGAAAAATGGAGTGAACTCAGAACAAAGAGACCAAATGTATTTGAATCCAGAGGCCCTCATACTGAAGGGATCAAGGAGAGCCAACTCTAAGAACTTTTGTGCCTAGGAGCTGGGTCCACATGGCCTCAAGCCACAGACAACAGGAGCAAAAACCAAACAATGCTAGTTGGGGATCCCTGTTCTGTGTATCACAGGAGTAAGCAGACAGTACGGGAAGAAACCCTGTGCTGTAGACAGGGGAGCTCCTGGAGTGACATTAGTTGTTTTTTTGTTTTTTTTGGAGGTCGGTCGTGGGGCTTGAACTCTGGGCCTGAACACTGTCCCTCAGCTCTTCAGCTCAAGGCGAGCACTCTACCATGCCACTTCCGGTTTTCTGGTGGTTTATTGGAGATAAGGGTTTCACCGACTTTCCTTCCCTGGGCTGGCTTTGAACTGCAATCCTCAGATCTCAGCCTCCTGATTAACTAGGATTACAGGCATGAGCCACTGGCACCAGCTGTGTCATTAGTTTTGTTTTTTTGTCCATTGTGGGGCCTGGACGCTGTCTCTCAGCTCTTCAGCTCGAGGGTAGCACTATACAACTTGAACCACAGCACCACTTCTGGCATTTTCTGCTTATGTGGTGCTGAGGATTTGAACCCAGGGCCTCATGCATGCAAGGCAAGCACTCTACCACTGAACCACCTTCCCAGCCCCCACATTAGAGCTTTATAACACACAAAGGCAAGTTTGCACACTACATATGCAAGTAAATGGGAGTTACAGATTTAAGCTGCCTTTCTGTTTAATGGCACCTGGTGTTTGTTTTGTAGCTGGGAACTGAACCCCTTGCCTTGAACATGGTAGCCCGCCTGAGCCAGAGCCCTAGCTATAAGGCTCTTTTTGTGCTGATACAGGGGTTTGATTTCAGGGGCTCTTGGTCTGGCTAAGCTTGCTTGGTACTTGGCTTTTTTGGTGTGAGTACTTGGCTTTTTTTTGGGGGGGGGGGAAGCGCATGTGTGTCCCAGTATTGGGGCTTGAACTAAGGGCCTGAACACTGTATCTTACCTTTCCTATTTTTGGTCAGTCATAGGGCTTGAACTCAGGGTCTGGACATTGTCCCTGATCTCTCTCTCTTTTTTTTTTTTGGTCAGTTGTTGGGCTTGACCTCTGGGCCTGGGCGCTGTCCCTCAGCTCTTCAGCTCAAGGCAAGCGCTCTACCAATTGAGCCACAGCACCACTTCCGCTTTTCTAGTGGTTTATTGGAGATAAGTGTCTCACAGACTTTGCTGCCCAGGCTGGCTTTGAACCGTGATCCTCAGATCTCAGCTTCCTGATTAGCTAGGATTAGAGGCGTGAGCCACCGTTGTCCCTAATCTCTTTTGCTCAAAGCAAGCCCCCAACTTTGAGCCACATGCCAATTTCAGTTATTGGTCTCACAGACTTTCTTGCACTGGCTGGATTCGAACCATGATCCTCAGATCTCAGCCTCCTGAGCAGTGAGGACTATAGACATGCACCACTGGCACGCAGCTCCTTGGTTTTTCTTTTTTTCCTGGTAGCAGCTCTGTGTGAGCATGCCCACCTGTGCATATCCGCAGAAGAGAGAAAAAGCAACTATGAGAATATTCACATTTAGGGAATCTAGAAAATTCTTTGTCCCACCAGGCACTAGTGGCTCATGCCTGTAATCCTAGCTACCAGGGAGGCTGAGATCTGAGGATAATGGTTCAAAGCCAGCCTGGGCAGAAAAGTCCCCATGAGACTCTTTATCTCCAATTAACCACTAAAAACCAAAAGTGGGCTGGGAAGGTGGCTCAGTGGTAGAGCGCTTGCCTTGCATGCATAAAGCCCTGGGTTCGATTCCCCAGCACCATATAAACAGAAAAAGCTGGAAGTAGCACTGTGGCTCAAGGGCTAGAGTGCTAGCCTTGAGCACAGAAAAGCTCAGGGACAGTGCCCAGTCACTTAGTTCAAGCCCCAGGACCAGCAAGAAAAAAAACAAACAGAAGTGGTGCTGTGGCTCAAGTGGTAGAGCACTAGCCTTGAGCACAGAGGCTCAAGGACAATGTCCAGACCCTGAGTTCAAGCCCCACAAATGACAAAGAAAAAAGTTCTTTGTGCCATACTTGTGACTTTCCAGCAGTACTGGCGCTGCCTCTGACTTTACCTGCTGTGCTGCTGGGCATGCTGGCATAGGGGCCGGCAGCTGGCGCTGCGGGGCTCATGTAGACGCCGTGCATGGGGGAGCCCTCCACTGAGCTTGCCGGACTGAAGGCGCCAGGGAAGCTGGTGGGACCCGAGGGCTGGAAGATCACAGCCCCAGATGCAGGCATGGCCTGGAGCTGAGGACAGAAGAGAGGGTTGTGAGTGGGGACTTGGGCCTGGGAGGGGCAGGAAGGGGGAGGACAGCACTTGCCTGGGCGTAGGGCAAGGGGAAGGCAGGCATCTGAGCACGCATCTGGACGGTTTGCTTCTGCTGTTCTAGGCGCATCTGCCGCTCCTTCTCCTGTTCCTGTAGGCGCTGAATGGCCAACTGCCGCTGCACCTCCAGGTACTCCTGCAGGGGTGGGAAGGGGGTAGTCAGGCAGAGTCGGGTTTCCTCTGCCCACAGGATGGACTGGCTGGCTGACGCACCTGCTTCTTCTGCCGCATGATCTCCAGCTTCTGGGCCAGCTGGATCTGGCGCTGGCGCTCCGCCTCCTCGGCTGCCCGGCGTAACTTCTCCCGATGTTCCTCACGCAAGGCGCTCAGCGCCCCCCTGGCGTCACGGATCTGTGCCAGCTTATCCTGCAGCCCCTCGTAGTACACTGCGGGAGGAAGGCAGGGCGGCACAGATGGGTGACGTGTCTGGTGTGGGCTCCTGCCCTGGGGCTCTGAGGCCCCTGGAGGGAGCCATGGCCTCAGTGAAGGATGGACAAAGAGTCACAGCTGCCTCGGGGCTACAGCTGCCTCCAGGAGCAACCAACAACGCTCACAAAAACCTCCACTGTCCATGGGAGCTGAGGCTCTGGACCCCCAGAGGAGCATGCAGGGGACACGCGACACCTACGCCTGCGTTCGTCCAGCTGGTTGAGCAGCTCTAGCAGCTGTGGGTGCATGCTGTTGATGGACTGGAAGAGAGAGAGCACTGCGGAGTCGTTGGTGATGCTGCGGCCCCGCATGTGGTTGCTCTTCATGCGGTTGACGAAGGTGGTCACGGCATTCTGCAGGGCCTTCAGGAACTGCTCGTGGCTCTCCTCCGACTCCCCATTCTGGTACTGCTGCGGGACACAGGATGGGACACTGAGCTCCATCATGCCCCAGGCTGGGCCAGTCTCCTTGGTGGCCATCAGCAGCACCAGGCAGGCAGCCAGGAGGTACCCACAGTGCTCAGAGCCTGCAGTAGACAACTGGAGGCACATTCTCATCCTCAGTCTACACAGGCCGGGCTGGGAAGGTGGCTCATAGAGCGCTTGCCTTGCATGCTTGAGGCCCTGGGTTCAATTCCTCAGCACCACATAAGCAGGAAAAAAAAGCCAGAAGTGGCGCTGTGGCTCAAGTGGTAGATTGCTAGCCTTGAGCTGAAGAGCTGAGGGACAGTGCCCAGGCCCAGAGTTCAGGCCCCACAACTGGACCCAAAAAAAACCCCACAAAACGACCCCAAGGCCAAGTTCTTGTCTATCAGCACAATGGCAGGACTGGCTACAGCCCCTGGCTGTGCCCCTGGCACCACGGACCTAGCATGACTGAGGGTGCCAAGAAGACTCAGCCAGGAGACCAGGGCTGCTTTGGACTGGTCAGGTCCACAGAGCAGCTGGCGCCCGGACCACACCCCTGGGCAGACAAGCTCTGTCAGAGCTGCCCTATGCACTCAGCAGGGCTGAGGCGGGGCGGGGCGGGGCGGGCTCCCTGGCGCTAACATAGCCCTCCAGCTAGGACCTGTGTGGTCCTGACTCCCTGGCCCATGGAGGGAGCCATGGCTTACCTCAGCAAAGGGGCCGCCGGAGGTGATGGGCTGCGAGTCTGCCTCTGGGAGGGGACCCTGTAAGAAGAGCACGGTGAGAGGGCTCCAGCTTGCGCCCTAAGGACCGGAGCCAAGAGCACTGAGCAACATCTCACCTCCACCATACCGGCAGGGGCCACGTGCCCCTCCCCGGGCTGGGCGGCCGGCTCTGTCAGGGGCACGGGCGCAGAGGGCGTAGGGCTCTTCCGAGCCTCTTCCTGCTTCTTCTCCCAGTAGTTCCGGTTGAGGTACCGAGCGAGCTACACAGCATCCAAAGGGGGAACAGGGTCACACGTGTGTGTCAGGGGCACGACCAGACATCTGTGTCTGGTCAGGATTACGGCCAGGCATCAAACCGGGAAATGGGGGTCACTTATGTGTGTCAGGATTACGGCCAGATATCAGCGGGGGGGGGGGAGGTCACTTGTGTGTGACCCCATCTAAGGGCGGGAGATGGGGGTCAGTTGTGTCAGGGGTACAGCCAGCATCAAACGGGGTGACTGCTGTGTATCGGAAGCATGGCTAGCATCTACCAGGGGAAACGGGAGTCTCTTGTGTGTGTCAGGGGCACAACGGGAGAACAGGGGTCACGTGTGTGTCAGGGGCACAACGGGAGAACAGGGGTCACGTGTGTGTCAGGGGAACAACCAGACAGCACGCCACAGGCAGCACCCACACAAGGGCCCTTACCTCAGGGTCCATGTCCTCAGCCAGAGGCGCCGACGAGTTCTGGGGACACAAAGAGGGTTTGAGGGGTCATGGCTAAGGAAGCCATGATGTGGCAAGGACCCAGATGGCACCAAATGGTGCTAGATAGCGCCTGGGCACCTGACACTCTTGCTGCACAGCCTCCTGTGCAGGGGTGCGTGGCTGAGCACTCTCAGTCTCTGAACACAATCTTAAGATCCTAAATCAGTAAACTGCTGCACATGACAGCCTTGCTTCAGGGCAGCACCTGATGGCGCTCCCTTGAATTACCAGGACAGGTACTGGGACCCAGTATGGACAACAGCCTGGGAGGGAGACTCCACACAGTGGAACCACAGCTGTGGAGCCTAGAGAGCTTGCAAATGACCTCTTGAATCTGTGTGCCACAGAGCAGGGGGGTGGAGTGGATCCCCAACAGAGCAAGGGAGCATTAGCTTCTGCCTATCATCCTAGCTCCTCAGGAGGCTAAGATCTGGGGCCTGTGATTCAAAGCCAGCCTGGGTGCTGTCCCTCAGTTCTTCAGCTTAAGGCTAGCGCTCTACCACTTGAGCCACAGCTCCATTTCCAGCTTTTTCTGCTTATGTGGTGCTGAGGAATGGAATCCAGAGCCTCATGCATGTAAAGCAAGCACTCTACCACTGAGCCATTTTCCCAGCCCCAGGTCTGAGCTCTTATCTTCAAAGAACCAACAAAAAGTCAGAAGTGGAGGTGTGGCTCAAGTGGTAGAGCTCTAGCTTTGAGTAAAAAATTGAAATCATGAAGCCTTTTGAGTCCAAGCCCCGATACTAGCACAGAAACAATCAATGCCCATGGTATGCAAGGAAGTGTGGGAGAGGTGTGTAGGGGCCTCCGACAGTGGCCCTCCAGGCAGTGCTGCACCAAGGGAGCTGAGCAGCACTCCTGGGGTGTGTACAAGGTTGTCTCCCATCTGTCCCTGGCCTCCCAGCCTGCCGGGCAAGGACTCAGCGCACTCACCACGGGGGAGGAATACAAGCTGCTGGCCGGGGGTGCCGACGATGCCAGGGGAGTGGGGTCTGCCTTGGGATGCGCTGTGTATGTTGACTTCTGTCTCTGAAGCAGAACCAGGAGGAATGTGGGGACCATGTGGCACAGACCTGTCCCCATTGCCTCCGGGGAGACCTTGCAAGGGTGCCCACAGCTCACCAGCCTCTCCTTTTCTTCAGCCTCCGACTGTGACAGGGCCAGGGCCAGCTGCAGCTCCTCCTCCTCCTGCAGGGCTGTCTCATCCCGCTTAGGAGGCAGCTAAAGGACAAGAGGGTGCATCAGGGCAGCCCTGGAGAGGAGATGCTCTTGGGACTGTGGGGGCATACCTGGGACTGCTGAGACAGGGGGCTGGTCAGGTACTCCGGAGGCAGCTCTGTGGTGGAGGCGGCCTTCCCTTCCGCTTTCCTAGAGGTAAGAGGAATGCTGCAGGGGACTGTGTGCTGACACCGGTCCTGCCAGCTGCCCCACGTCTCCCTGATAGTATCTGTGGTCTGCTGATGGAGGTCACACAGGAATATGACCGTAAGAACAGGTGACCCAGCAGCCCTGTTAGGCAACAGCAGAGGGGCCTGGACTCAAGTCACCTGGAGGGCCTAAGTCACAGTCCCTTTCCTTGGATCAGAACAGGTCAGGAAGGTATGCCTTTCATGAGTATGGAACTGGATCAGGGTTTTCTGGAGTGTTTATTTTATGCCAGTCCTGGGACTTGAACTCAGACCTGGGCACTGTCCCTGAGCTGCTTTTGCTCAAGGCTGGCACTCTACTCTGTGAGCCACAGCTCACACTCTCACCTTTTTTGGTAATTTACTAGAGTTAAGTCTCACAGATTCACTAGGCTGGCTTTGAATGTGATCCTCAGATCTCATCCTTCTGAGGAGCTAGGATTACAGGCGTGAGCCACAGGCACTTGGCTGGCTTTCTAGTTCACTCCAGAACAAGTGCCTGCTGAGCGTCACATACAGCACAACCAGCATCTCAACCCAAATGTGCCAACTTTCCCTGCCCACAAAATCCCAGGTCTCTCTTGCTCTTTTTTTTTTTTAATTTTGGTTGGTGGTGGGGGCTTTATCTGAGGGCTTGGATGCTGTCACTGAGCTTCTTTTCCACTCAAGGCTAGCACTCTACCACAGCTCCATTTCTGGTTTTCTTGTGGTTGACTGAAGATACATGTCTCATAGGCTTTCCTGCCCAGGCTGGCTTTGAACTATGATCCTCAGATCTCAGCCTCCTGAGTAGCTAGGATTACAAATGTGAGCCACTGGTGCCTGATGCCCAAACTCTTTTCTAGCAGAAAGCATCTAAAAGCATGTATCCCAAAGGAGAAAGGGGAGGAGGGAAAGCCAAGCAGCACTCAGGAGAAAAGAGTCACTTTCAGGATGTGAGTCATGAGCACTGTAAAGACATTTTAGGCAGGTACACAGCCACAAGGACCGGACTTTGGCCTGCACTCAAGTGGGAACCTATGCATCACAAGGCAAAGGAGCATGCCCAGGGAGCAGACTCCAACCCCTGAACCAAGTTGGTCCAAGTTTGTATCACCAGGCAGATTCAAGGGTCATCGTGAGTCACGATGCCAGAAACACTGAGCCTGAACTTAAGCAAGTCACCTGAATAGCTAGACCGTACTTAGCTGTTTACATCCAGATGACAGAGACTAAAGACACGCTCTGGGTAAGGCAGCCCGGGAGGAGAGAAGGCAGAGCAGCATGCTGTGTGACCTGACAGGCCCTAGTACAGAAGCTACAGAGCCACTTTCTGGGGCAAGGCAAAGCTGGATCCCCTCCTGCTACTGCCAGAAGTCACATGTCAATGGTGCAGACAGCCTTGCCTCTTTGGGAAACGTAGTAGGAGTGTTCAATCATAAAGGGCCCAAGAACACGCAATTCACATTAACATTAAAAATAAAATACAAGGGGCTGGGAAGGTGGCTCAGTGGTAGAGTGCTTGCCTTGCATGCCTGAGGCCCTGGGTTCAATTCTTCAGCACCACAAAAGCAAAAAGAAAAAAGCCGGAAGTGGCGCTGTGGCTCAAGTGGTAGAGCGCTAGCCTTGAGCTGAAGAGCTGAGGGACAGCGCCCAGGCCCAGAGTTCAGGCCCCACGACAGGACCCAAAAAAAATAAATAAAATAAAATACAAGCCAGGCTGAGTGCTGGTGGCTCACACCTGTAATCCTAACTACTCAGGAAGCTGAGATCTGAGGATTGTGGTTCAAAGCCGGCCTAAGTAGTAAAGTCTGTGAGACTCTTATCTCCAATTAACCACCAGAAAACTGGAAGTGGCGCTGTGGCTCAACTGGTAGAGCACTAATCTTAGGCAACAAAGGTAGGGGATAGTACCCAGGTCCAGAGTTCAAGCCCCAGGACTGGCTAAAAGAAAAAAAAAGCTCAGTGAGAGTGCAAAGCCCCGAATTCCAGCCCCAGGACTGGCACACACAAGTAAACACAGAATTACATCAGTATGTGCACACACCTGAGCAGAGATGAGGAAAGGCGACGGCTTACTACTGAGCGACATAGCGCAGTGCCCATAACCAAGAAGCTGCACGTGCGCACACAGCTCCTCACACCAAACCTGTTACTCCAAACAAACCCAAACCAAACCAAAGGCCTGCAGCATGGCCACTGCCCTCTGCCTGCCTGTGCTGACCTTCCTTCCGGCACTCACTTGTTAAGCTGCTCATAGCAGGGCTCACAGACGCGCACCTCCTTCTCAATGCCAAACTTGGGGATGGTCGAGTACTTGGAGGAGCACTTGCCGCAGAAGATCTGCCCACATGCCCGGCAGTGGTGCTGCGAGACAGGGTAAAGGGGGCCTGCTTACAGGGGCCAGGGCTGCCCTAGACAGGGCGAGGCTGGGCACAGGAGCTGGCATCACAACCAACAGAAAAAAGACTATGTAGACACACTTCCAGGTACTCAGCTTCAGCCACCATTTTGGGGTAAGAGAATAAAAAATGAAGGCCAATAGCAATGTTCTGATTCTATCAATGACATAAGAACTTTTCTGGGGGGGCGGGGGGAGGCTGGGAAGGGATGTGAAGGGTAAACAAAGGAGGAAGCTGCAATGCTTGATAAGAAATGTACTCATTGGGGCTAGGAAGGTGGCTCAGTGGTAGAGCGCTTGCCTTGCATGCATGAGGCCCTGGGTACGATTCCTCAGCACCACATAAGCAAAAAAGCCAGAAGTGATGCTGTGGCTCAAGTGGTAGAGTGCTAGCCTTGAGCTGAAGAGCTGAGGGACAGTGCCCAGGCCCAGAGTTCAGGCCCCACTACCGGACCCAAAAAAAAAAGAAATGTACTCATTATCTTGCCCATGTAATTGTAGCCCCTCTGTACAGTATGTTCACAAAAAATTAAAATAAAAAAAAAAGAACTTTTCTGTGTGTGTCAAGTCCTGGTGAGCCTGCTCACCCCCTGGAATCCCCAGCATTCACTGTAAATAAAGCTGCAGGCTCTTCAGTGCAGTACGACAGTAGCTTTGGGGTCAGAGTTCAGACAAGCCAAGTCACCTGAAGAAAGGGTGACACATTAGAGCAGCCCTGAGTAGGTTCTCAGTTGGGGTTTGGGATATTTAGATCCCCAGAGTGAAGCTGGGCCCATGCAAGGTAGGGATAGGGGATACTAGACCAACTTCAGCTGAGGGCACTGATCACCACCAAATCCTGGTGTTCCCTCTCCTGTGCTACGCAGCTCCAAGACAACTTGTTTCCAGAGCCACTAGACTACAGCAGAAAGCACCACACCTCGCTATGAGCAGGACCCTAGGTGAGGGCACCCAGAGCTTTAGCTCTGCTTGCCTGTGTGAAGGCTGAAGGGGCTTGGCACTCACCTTTCGGGTCACCACCCCAAATTGCACTCTGCAACGGTGGCATTCCTCAGCATCCACCCAGTCTGGAGCCTGGAGGTAGAAGGAGGGCAGCAGAGTCAGACCCTCACCCCAAAGCTCCCAAAGGCAGCCAACAAGGAAAGAAGCCTAGGAAGTGGTGCTGTAGCTCAAGTGGTAGAGCGCCAGCCTTGAGCTGAAGAGCTGAGGGACAGCGCCCAGGCCCAGGGTTCAAGCCCCATGATCGACCAAAAAAAAAAAAAAAAAAGAGGAAGCCTGAGAAGATCCCAAAGTGCTAGAACAGCACGGCCAGCCTGCTCCACCTTCAGGCTCAAACCACTTGGCCCAATGTTTAAAGCAAAGAGTCCCACCCGAAGGGGCACGTTAAGTCACAACCTTGACATCTGCCACAGTTACAGGAAGGTGTAAGAAAATCTATCTATATATTTATTTTGAGAAAAACGTAAACCTATTTATTTTGCAGAATGTGTAAGCCTATTTTTGTGGTCAGAGCCTTGTACATGCTTAGAAGGTACTGAGCCACATCCCTGGGTATGAAGACATTTTAACAATTGTGAACCCAGTAGCAATATTCCAAAGGTACCACAAACACATCTTCATCGTGACTTCAGTCAGAACAGAAATCACATTCTCTTCAGCCCATCAGTCCCCAAGCAGACTCCCACAGCCTCCCCACTCACATGCTGGTGATGCTCAAGGCCAAGACCCCCCACCACACCCCCCCCCACTCACTCTTTCCGCAGCAAACATGGCATCACTTTCCTTGAACTCTGGAAAGACATGTCCTAGGGAGAGAAGGCTGATGTTACCATGAGACGACTCAAGCCCACTGCTGCTCAATCCTGACATCTGTCCCCCAGGCAGAAATACAAGAGGACACCGAGTTCTAGGCCCACAACATCCTGAGCCACTGTCCCGCTCTTTGTTGTTGTTGGTCATTGGCCTGAACTCTGGGCCTGGGCATTGTCCCTCAGCTCTTAAGCTCAAGGCAAGCGCTCTACCTGAGCCACAGCACCACTTCCAGCTTTTACTGCTTATGTGGAGCTGAGGAATCGAACCCAGGGCCTCATGCATGAGAGGCAAGCAGTCTACCACTGAGCCACCTTTCTGGACTCCATTGTCCTGCTCTTAAACCAGACTAGCTCCAAAGCCATCGCATCATTCAGAGGAAGGCACACAGACTGCGGGGAGACTCAGTGCTCACAGCCTGGCTGAAAACCTGCCAGGAACTTGCAACTGCATAGAGTAAACCCAAATCCTGGCCCAGCTCTCCTCTGGGCGTGTGCTGCGTCGCTGAGCCTCTCAGAGGCCAGTGTGCTTGGCAAAGGACCCCTGAGCCCAGAGCCTTGGTGGTTTCCTCTGCTGTCAGGTCTTGAGCCTAGGGCACTTCCTCAGGAGGGCTTCAGGAAGGCTCATCTTGCATCCTCCCCAGGGCAGTGCACTCTCTGAAACGTGTTTCTCTGACGAAGTTTTACCATTTGCTGTCTTCAGTCACCACCAACCCCTGACCCACGCAGGGAGGTTGCAAAGAAAGAATTTCTTGCTTCTGTCGCCAGTCCCTCAGTGAGGACTGGCACATCCTCCCTTGCCTCTTGTCACTGGACCCGCTTGGTCTGCCACCACCCAGCAAGGCAGCCTTGCAGCTCATAGCGGCTGTGTTCCAAGGACTCAGACTGGACCTTGTCCCCAACCCCAACTCACCCTCCACCTTCATGATCTGGTAAGTGTCCTGGACCACCTTGTACTTGGGTTCGTTGCGGAAGGCATGTGCCCAGGCCTGGATCAGGTACAGGATCTTGTTCCGGACGTTTACTTCCACTTGCCTCTGCAGGGCAGGAAGAAGTAGGAGAGCCTCAGGAGACATGCGGTGCCAGAGGTCTCTCAGCTGGCAGAAGCCATTGCCCTGTGCAGACTGGGCTGGCACAGAGGCCAGGAAGAGTGGGTGCCAACATGTTCCCAGGTCACTCTCATGAGTCCTCACCTGTCTGTACTTGCTCAGGACCCTGACTTTTCTCCAAAGCCAGAGGACTCCAAGAGTCAAACTGTGTCATGTCTCATGAGTCTCAGCTACACGTCTCTTTACCTTTTTTGACTGGGCAAAGGATCCTGCTGTACCCACAACTACCACTTAACCCCAGGCACCACTAGCCTCCAGCACACACAGCCAATCAGAGCTGCTGCAGAGCAAAAACCCTTCCACAGTCCAGGAGTGGCAGGTGAATAGCCACTCCAGAAGCTTCTCCAGACACAGAGGGGAAGCTGTGAGCCACTATCCCCACCAGGTGAGTGCACAGCCCGGCCTGGAGTCCGGCTGGCTTGCAGGGAGACTATCCCCAGCACTTGGCACTGAGGACGTTGGCGGGGGGGGGGGGGTGGCCACTGCTCAGAGGAGCTGCAGCAACAGCGAGCACACTGGAGCCCTCTGGCATCCTGCCTCCACTGGCAGCAAACGGTGCAGAGCACCTCAGCACCAGCACAAGGCAGTACACAGTGCAAGAGCCAGGCCGGGTGCTACCCCTGCTTGGCCTCCAGCCAGGAAGGCATGGGGAGCTGGCCTGGCATGGGAAAAGCCTGACTCCAGGTCACACAGGAGAGGGAGCAGCCTCACCTTGATACAATTCCCTTTTCATTTCAAAGCCCTGCCACACCACCACTGCCTGCATCACCAATCACCACCCACATCACAATCCCTAAGAGTGGCCCCAGGGACCGTCTCCAGGTGATCTAGCGCGCTTTCCTCCCCTCTGCCAGAGAGGGGCGGAGGAACCTCCTTCCCTTGGACAGCTCCTTGCTCTGCCATCCGCCTCTCCTGGGCGCCCAGGATGTGTTTCTCAAGCCTCCTGCTAACACCACAGCCACCACCACCACTTGTGCCCACTGTGTAGCAGCCACGGTCCTTCAAGACTCTGCTCCTGCTGCTTGGAAGCATTTCCTAGCCCTCAAAGAAAAGCAGGTCTTCCTAGGCCCAGATATGCCTTCTGTGCTGGCTTCTGTGACCCCAGCACTGGGTCGCTAAGAGAGGCTTCCCCAGGCTTGGACCTGAGTTCACAGCACAGAGATCAGCAACTCTCACCTTCATCCTCTGCTGTGCCCAGTGCTCAATAAACACCCGCAAAAGTAAATGTGGGGCTGGGAAGGAGGCTCACTGGTAGAGTGCTGGCCTTGCATGCATGAGGCCCTGGGTTCGATTCCTCAGCCCCACATAAGCAAAAAAAGCCAGAAGTGGCGCTGTAGCTCAAGTGGTAGAGCACTAGCCTTGATCTGAAGAGCTGAGGGACAGCACCCTGGCCCAGAGATTAGGCCCAACAACTGACCAAAAAAAAAAAAAAAAGGGGGCCATATCTGCCATTCGCCACCCCCTTGTTCTTAGAGAGCACCCACCTTGAGCAGCTCCTTCAGCTCCTCCATGGTCTGCTTGTTAGCTACCTCATCATGCACTGTCTGCCCACAGTTCTTCACCACCGACTCCATGACCTGCAGACCACAAGAGAGAGAAGGGTAGGGCCAATGGTAAGGACAGGCCCCCACCTTCCCACTGAAAGCGGCTTGGTGGTCTCTACAGGCCACACAGCTGTTGGAGATGGCAAGCAGGGGCTCTGGAGACTGGTGTAGTTCCTGTCACATGACCCTCTGTTGTCTTGGCGGTTCATGCACGGATCAAGCCTGGAGAAGCAGCAGCCTCACTGCTTTGTGTCCCCAAAGGGCGATGGAGCTCAGTGGTCCTACTCACTACTAGACTCAAAGCTAGAGGAAGTCCACTGGTGGTTGTGTGCACAGCAATGCGGGCAAAACTGACTGACTGAGTGGACAGTGACCCTCACTATTGGAGGTCAGAAAACACTGAAGCAGGACTCGAGTTACCTCTAGCGCATACAAGGCCACATGAGGATTCTTGTCGTTGACTTTCTTCTTGATGGAACTTACGGCATATTTTGCTCTGAAAGGAAAAGAGCAATGCTAATAGCAGAGAGAAAAATAAATTAACAGCCTTAGCAAATGAGATAAGGAAATCCATCTACCATCTTGGAGTGTCTCCTTCAGACATTGCAAGCACAAGTATTAACATAACCAGGTATCTTCAAGTTGCACAAAGAAGTCCTTTACTTGTTCCAAGATAATAAAAGCTACAGCACATAGACCATGTGATTGTCTCTGCATGAGGTCCTTGTGCAGTGAACTGAATCTTGGAGAAACAGTGAGCATCAAGTGACTGCAATACTGTGCATCGCTACCCTGCGCACTCACTGTGTGTCCCCCTGACGGATCAGGTCGCAGATCTGCAGGATGGACTCCCAGTCGGTCTCCAGGAGAAGCTGGCTTGTGGCTTTGTCTAAGGGAGAGAGACATGGTCGAAGGGGCTGCTGTAGTCTAAGTAGTCCCCAGTTCTTCAATTCATTCATTCCTTTTGTAAACACTTGGGCAGGCTGGAAGAGCATGGAAATACCATCCTTCCAAGGTCAAGAGTACAGCAAGAAGGACAAGAGAATGGCTGCCATGTGCTTCTGACACATCAGCTATCATCCAAATGCTGTCATCTGTGAATTCACTCAATTCTCACATAAAATAAGCAGCTACCACCAGTTCCACCCCCTTCACAGAGGCCAAGCGGAGGCAAGGCCACTGCCCTAAGGCACAGCTTGTCACACACTTTGAAACTGGAGCCCTGCTGCTTCTCAACAGACTGTCACCTGTTCCTCAGAGTTCTTATCACTCAGATGTTCTGCCCCTTTGGTTGGCCATTAGTTGGGAAAGCCTTGGGAGACACCTGCAACATGGACTCCAGACCTCCACTTAAAGCACTTTGTAGGGTGAAGGGAACTGACCCCCAAGTTGTCCCAGCCAACACCTCTTCTCTCCACACCTGTCACCTCTGACAAACAGGCACTAACTACTACTCAACTCTGCATCATCTTTCCCAAGACACAGAACAACCTCACAGGCCTTGCTGCCTTCAGTACTGATTCAGCAGATTTCTGGATTCATGCTTGAAACTGAAGTACTAAGCCTGTGTACCCCTAGAGAAGCAAGGTGTCTCATCTGAGATCCCCTTGAAAACTTTCACATCATGCCCAGAAGGAGCGAAGATGAGCAACTGGGAAGGGTATGGCGCTGGGAAATGGAGAGGGGGGAAGGAAGGTGGCTGGGATCATAAAGGCTAAAGGAACACGGCCTGGAAGTAGACAGGAATTGAGGAGAGGAAGGCCACGGTGACGAGTGTACAGCATCCAAACAGGGGTCAGAGGAATTGAGAGAGCAGCCTGAAAGGTGGCAGGGCACCCTGCACGAGGGTGAAGGGCTTGGGATGGGATGTGGGTCTGAATGGAGTCCTGCTGGTCAAGGAGACACCCGAAGAAGAACTGCTGGGGGTGCAGGGAGGGAACGGGGACAAAACCTTCCTTCAGAAAGTGGCAGCCGGGAGCAGACCGTGACGGCACCCAGAGCTTGGGACACAGACCGCAAAGGAGACGGGACGGGGACGCGGGACTCACTTTTCTTCCTAAAGCCTGCGGCCTCCGGGAGGTTCGGTTAGAGGCGCCGAACACCTCCACCGCGGGGAGCAAAGGCCTTCCTAAGGGCCTGGGCCAACGCACGGGGCGGGCTGGGGCAGGGCGGGGGCCGACACTCGGGTCGGGAGACCCGCCGGGGGAGGGCGAGTCACCCGCTCCGAGGCTCGGGACCTGGGCCCGGCCGGCCCAGGACCGCCGGACGCGGAGGGAAGCGAGGCCTGGCGCGGACCTCGGCAGCGCCGCCCTCGCCGGCGCCCGGGGCCGACGAGCCCGGCGCGGCCGACCGGCTCGGCCCGGCAGGCCACACCCGAGGCCCAGCGCCGGCGCCGCGCGCCCCGGAGGCCGACGGCCACCGAGCCGCGGGAGGGCGGCCCGCTCCCTCACGAGCCGCGCCGGGCCGGAGCGCGGGCGAGCGGACGCAGGCCGGGCGAGAGGGCGCGTTACCTAGGAGACGCTCGAAGGTGCCGCTGCCTCGCCCCATGGCGACCCCGGACCGGACAGACGCCGCCGAGCTCCCTGGCTCACCGCGGGCGCGCCCCCCGACTTCCGCTTCCGTCTTCGCTCCTCAGCGCGCGCACGCGCACGCGCACGTCGCCGCGACGGCTCGGCAGCCGCGAGGAGGCGTGGCCTCCCGCGGCGACCGTGGCGTGGTGAGCCTTGAGAGCCAATGAACAGTCCGGGAGGGAGTTCCAGCCAATGAGCGCAGGGAAGGGGCGGGCCTTGCGTGGTGAGGCCCCGACCTACGGGTGCCGAGTGGAGCGAGGCCTGGAATGTGCCTGCTGCTGGGCGCCGCGGGCGTCGGGAAGACGCTTTTGGTGAAACGCCTGCAGAATATCCTTGAGCGCCCCGCGCGCGTGCGGGCCGGTGTGCGGGCGGCCAGGGGGGACCTGGGCCGGCGCGGGGCTCCTCCCTCTGCTGCTCTCGGGTCCTTAACAGTCCGCACAGCTGAGCTCCCAGGGTGGCCAGGGCGACCTGGGCGAGCCTCCCCCGACGCGGCCCACGGTACGCGTCCGCCCGCTCCGTGCGGGCTAAAGCGGGCGCACTTGTGAGGCCTGCCGAGCGCCTCTGACCCCGCCAGGAGGAGCGAGTTGAGCCTGGCGGGGACCCTTTCCTCTCCCAGGGGGCGTGGGCCCTGATCCCTGATCCCTGATCCCAGAAGCACCCTTTACCCTCCTGGTTGACACCTCTTGCTGTTGAGATGTTGGAGAATGGGCATGGAGGATTTAGGCCATGGAGTAGTGTGCGTGCATTTATGCCCAGAATTGACATGTATGCGCGGGACAGCGCTTACATTGTCCTCCCTCTGCGTCGTGGTTTTTCCCACAGGTGGGCACCGACCTTACAGACATAGTGGCCCAGAGAAGGATCACCATCCGAGAGCTCGGAGGGTGCATGAGCCCCATCTGGTCCAGTTATTATGGAACCTGCCGTTCGCTCATGGTGGGTCATCACCTTTTGAATTTCTTTTCAGGAGAGTATGTCCGTGTGGCTGAGCTGTCAGGTCCAGATCCTACTTTGTATAGAGTAGGGCTTGGGGTTCTGCTATCAGGGAAGTGCGACTGAGCCTACACTTGCTTCAGTCGAATGAGCTGACATTAGAGTTCCCCTGCCTTGGTCCCTAGGTTTGATCTACATTTAGGCTTGATTTTTACATCATTCTGGTAGAGTGAATCCTTGAAGACAGATGCCTCAACTCTGGGATGGAGAATTTATTGCTACATTGAGCATCAACTACCACGTAGGTGAAAACACGTTAGAGACACCAGGTCATCCTTCTACACGCTTCCCTACGCTTAAACCCAAATCTCTTTATTTAAAAGTCATTGTGGCCAGGTGCTGTAACCCCTTGATACTCAGGATACAGATATCTTAGGACTGAGGTTCAAAGTCAGCCTTGGCAGGAATGTCCATGAGACTCATCTCCAATTAACCACCAAAAAGCCAGGAGTGGAGCTGTGGCTCAAGTGGCAGAGCACTAGCCTTGAGCAAAAAGCTCAGGGACAGAGCCCAGGCCATGAGATCAAGCCCGAGGACTAGCACAAAAAAAAAAAGAAGCAGCAGCAGCTGGGCACCAGTGGTTCACGCCTGTCTACTCAGGAGGCTGAGATCTGAAGATTGCAGTTAGGGGACAGCCTGGGAAGAAAATTTTGTGAGACTTATCACCAATAAACTACCAAAAAAGGAGTAGTAGAAGGGCCTGGGGGTTTAGTCCAGTGGAAAGGCGCCCGCCCGGTGCGCGCAAGGCCCTGGGTTTGGTCCTCTGCCCTGGAAAAAAAAAAAGAAAGAAAGGAGTAGTAGAACTGTGGCTCAAGTGGTATAATACCAGCCTTGAGCAAAAGAAGCTCAGGGACAGTGGCCAGGCCCTGGGTGGTTTTAAGCACCAAGACTGGCAATAAAAATAAAAATCTTAAAAAAATCTTTAAAAAAACAATTAGGTGGACACCAGTACCACACTATAATCCTAACTACTAAGGAGGGTGAGATCTGAGGATAATGGTTCGAACCCAGCTCAGGCAGGCAAGTTTGTGAGACTTTTTTTTTTTTGGTTGGTCATGGGGCTTGAACTGTAGGCTTGGGCTTGGGCGCTGTCCCTGCACTCTTCAGCTCAAGGCTCTAGAGCTCTACCACTTGAGCTACAGCACTGGTTTTCTGGTGGTTTATTGGAGATAAGAGTTTCACAGACTTTCCTGCCCGGGCTGCTTTGAACCAAGATCCTCAGATCTCAGCCTCCTGAGTGGCTAGGATTACAGGCTTGAGCCACCGGTGCCTGGCTAGCAGGAAGTTGTTAACATGTTGTTTTCTTCTCCAGTTCGTGATTGATGCTTCTAATCCCACTCAGCTCTCTGCATCCTGTATGCATCTCTTGGGTCTCCTTTCTGCAGAACAACTTTCAGAAGTGTCAGTCCTGATACTCTTCAATAAAATGTATGGCTCTGTGAACTGGGAGGTAACATGAGGGGTGGGGAATGTCCTTGTAGCCAAGCACAGGGCTCATTCGGGTGGAGGTGCAGCTGGGGGCTGGGCGAGTTGGTGGCAGCCACCCCTCTGATGGAGCACTTCGTTACAGTGACCAACCTTGTTACATGTCCCTGGAGGAAATTAAGTCATTGATCAGGCTCCCAGACATCATTGCTTGTGCCAAGCAGAACATCACCACGGCAGAAATCAGTGCCAAGAAAGGCACTGGCTTGACTGGCGTGCTGCACTGGCTCCAGGAGCAGCAGAGAACCAGCGGTTGACTGCAAGTTGGAAAAGTCTGGCTGGCTCGTCTGCTCACCAGAAGGCAGAGGGTGCATTAATGACCACAGTGTTCTGACAGAGGCACAACAGCCTAGCATAGTCCTAGAGAGCAGGGATCTGTGAGGAGATGCAGTTCTGGGTAAAGAGAATCACTTGGGGTACAGTTCCAGACACCTGAAGAAGACTGTACTCAGGACTGGCAAAGGAGGACTGGCCTGTAAGTGGCATCCAAGGATGATGCCCCTGGGACTTGTTTCCCTGTCCCCAGGATCCCACTGGACTTGCGCCAAGGTGTTCGAATTACAGTGCCACTACAGAGACCTTGTGTCCCGTCAGTAATACAAGCTCCACTCTGTGTCCATTTCTGATACCCTGACTGCGCCAATCCTCCCTCTCCCCAATCAACAAGGGGGTGGGCACAGTGTGAGAGTAAGAACTAAGCCTCAAGGCCCTACCCACTATTAGGGAGGAGGCTGGGGTGGAAGGATCATCTGCGCCCAGGAATTGGAAAATAACATGGGCAAAACAGGTAGACCTTTTTGAAATTAAAATTGAAAAGCGAACACTAAGCTTGGCGTTTTCCTTGGTTTATTTGTTCAGTGAGCACATGCTGCCCTGCCGCATTCCGAGTGGTGAGGCTCAGGTGAGGCTTGGGTGGTGGTGGCCTCTCCCGTGTTCTGTTCTGCCGGGGCCAGTCATCGCCCCTGAGGCAGCTAGAGAGCCTCACTGCTGATCCCTACACCAGTGAGTTCATAGCCCTTGAATTGCCAACTGCGTTGGGGGAGACGGGAGTTAAAACCTCCGAAATGAGCTTAGTGCCCAGGACTCTGCAGTCTTTTTTTTTGGTCGGTCATGGGGCTTGAACTCTGGCTTGGGCGCTGTCCCTCACTCTTCAGCTCAAGGGGAGCACTCTACCACTTGAGCCACAGCGCCACTTCGGGTTTTCTAGTGGCTTATTGGAGATAAGAGTCTCACAGAGTTTCCTGCCTGGGCTGGCTTTGAACCTTAATCCTCAGATCTCAGCCTCCTGAGTAGCTAAGATTACAGGCATGAGCCACCGGTGCCTGGCTCTTTTTTTTTTTTTTGGTCAGTCATAGAGCTTGAATTCTGGGCCTGGGTACTGTCCCTGAGCTCGCCACTTCTTGGAGATGGTCTCATAGACTTTCCTGCCCAGGCTGGCTTTGAACCATGCTCCTCAGACCTCAGCTTCCTGTGCAGTGGTAGATCTAGTGAGATCTACCACTGCACTTTCTCACCCTTTCCCCCTTGAGTTCTATACCCTCTCCTCACACCCTTCCAAAGATATACTCTCAAATATACCATACGTAATGTAAAGAAGACAGAATCATCAAACACTAAAAAAAGGGCTGGGAAGGTGGCTCAGTGGTAGAGCACTTGCCTTGCATGCATGAGGCCCTGGGTTCGATTCCTCAGCACCACATAAGCAAAAAGAAAAAACAGGAAGTGGCGCTGTGGCTCAAGTGGTAGAGTGCTAGCCTTGAGCTGAAGAGCTGAGGGACAGTGCCCAGGCCTAGAGTTCAGGC